CCGTTTAGTTTCCTCTGCCATGCGATGCGCTGATACCGACCTTCGCAGTATACGTTTGGGCTCCCATGTCAGCAGACGTAACTGCGATGGTATGTCACTTGGTTGTGGCAGACCGCTGGTTGCTGTCAGCGCTTCATTCTGCAGTCGGTATTTGGTCCTACTGAATCTGTATAAACTGAACAGTGGTCAGCCACGTCAACTGCGTGATTGAGCCCATCATGTTGCATATAAAAGGGTAGCTCTCTGTGAATGAAGTACAATACCGTTGTCAAACTGGTTAATTTCTTATAACAATTCTATTGTGACGACTGTGCAATGTCAGTACGCCAGCATGCAGTCTGCGATCGCTAGTTTGTATTTATGTCATTGAAAGATAGTCACCTGCATCAATTATTTGACTTCGACCATCATATTGCCTATCAACAGAATCCTCTATGTGAATACGATGCGACGCCGTTGTCAAGCTAAATATAAATGACATTTTATTTTATTATTCCATCGTAGTGACTGTGCGAGGTCGCTAAGAGAGCGCGTAGTCATTCAATCGGGCCATGGAGTTTATATAATTACAGGTGGTCATCTGTCCCAGTTACGTGATTTAATCCTTCATATTATACATCGTTCGAAATTACCTTTCTTAGGGAGTTTTTAGACTGCTGATTCTTACGGAGACAGATGCGTCAGAAAGTGTTTCGAACATTCCTGATCCTATACAAGCACTTAAGCTTCGACACAAGAAGGCCTGAGTATGGAGCAGACTCAGTCCATACACTTGCCTCTGGTTATACTTGGCCACTTCGCTGCCGTCGGCCGGTCGGTTTGGCCAGTAGCAGCTGTTTCGCCTTCTTTTCTGGAAGCATTCAAAGGGCATATCCAATCAATCGAAACTCTGACTTCTCCATCTGCAGTAATCAGCGGCTGTACATCAAGGCAGTCATTCGAATAACTGAACTCTGGGCTCTACAGCAAGACACCTGAAGCTAGAAAGCCAATTTAAACTATCTGTACTCGGGACAGAAGGTTTTCACTCCATCACGACTGACCGTAAACGAGCATCGGGATGAATATTGATTAAAACACTGA